TATATATATGCTTTGTTTGAACATGATAATATAATGTATATTTAAATCTGTAGAAGTTCTGAATTATGATAAAATACGATATCAAAAACACTATAATTAATTTAATGTATGATTTCAGTGTTGCTGATTAAGCTTCTGGTTTCTTCATCTCTTTCTTCTTTCTATGTTTTTATCATTTCTCTCTTATTACAGATATAAGTTGTTCTCAAACTGTGTCCCTACGTTTGACTTCCGTCACCTCTTGTCTCTTACGGACAAGGTTGACCGTTTTAATGAAGAAGTGCAGAAGCAGATGGTGTCGCGGAACAGGGACGCACCAGAGGGGGGGTTTGATGCCATTCTGCAGGCTGCAGTTTGCAAGGTAAGCAGTCAGTAAAGACGGGTCATTTTGCTGTTTCATCACTAAGCTTCTTTGACTCCTTCAACTCCCTATAGAGACAGAAAGCCTGTCCAGTGGGGTTTAATGAAAAGAGAGAGAATGTCTTGTTTTTGTGCTGTGTTATCTGAGCTTTATCAGAACAGATACAGGTGTCTGAGTCCTAAAAGAGACACGCTAATATTGCATGACATCATAGGCTGTACAAATATTTGCTTTGGCATGAAAGGCACGGTCACAGCATGCATGAGAGAAAGAGACTGTGCAGTTCACCCTGAATGAGACAAGAGACATTTATGCACCGTACAGTATGTGTTAATCAGTGCTTGTTCTTGTTTGTGAGACTAGTGAGATCTTGTGTGTTGAATTTGCCATGTGTTGCTCAGTTCTTCAGAATTTCCTGAACATCCTGTTTTTGGCTATTCAGCCATCTAAAACGCTAGTCAGCATGTTGTCTGATATTTGAGTAGTTCATGCAGTTTTTGTATCTAAATTTTAGGTAAAATATATATGCATCTGTGAATAAAACTGTAACTGGTCACCAATTTTAAATAGCCATTTTGCCTGCATTTCTTTTTGAGAGTATATTTAAGATGGTTCTGTGTAGTGACACTAATGTTTAAAAGTATATATTCCATTTAGTCTCTTAATTAATATGAGGCCATAAAAGCTGTATGCATACTAAAAAAATTAATTAAATTAAATAAAAAATAGCTGCCAAAATGCGTAGATGTGTTTTATTTGGAAAACTAATAATCTCCATATGTGACAACTCTGTAATATAACTTAACTGATCTATCAACTATACAGAAACACTGTATACATTATTAACACTGTATACAAACATATTAAAATGAACATGGTATAGAGATATATATGACAAGATATAGGCTGGTATAAATGAGAGTTTCATCTCATTGTGGCAGGAGAAGATTGGCTGGAGGAAAGAGGCCTACCATCTCTTGGTGTTTGCCACCGATGACATCCCTCACTTGGCTTTGGATGGCAAGCTCGGTGGACTAGTGCATCCTCACGATGGACAGTGTCACCTGAACGACAAGAACGAGTATAGTGCTGCAAACAAGATGGTAAATGCAAAACCTCATTTTAAATGGATATAAACTGAACCAAACAAATGTTCTTCAAGTTTATGTGGAGACACATTTGGGTAAATGAATTGACTGTCTGAATGAGATTAGATTGTTTTACTGTAAAAGCACTTCATGCCCAATTGCTTGTCTTTAACTGCTGTCAGCCATAAATGCTTTAGATTAACATATAATGATTGTCTGAAAAGCTTAAACCCCAGCAGTTTCTGTTTTCTGAACCGTATTAAGAAACCTTTTAAAGGGATTTGTGGATAATTCGGTTTTAAGGTTTTGTGCACTTAATGTTTCCTTCTTTTTTGACCAGTTGATGTCTCTTTCAGTGTTGCCAAGTCTGTGGTTTTCCCGTGGAATTGGGCTACTTTAACACTGTTGCCGCGGGTTGTTTTTCCCCGGAACGCGATTTTTAACTGGGGACCCCCTCTAAATGCGATTGGACTAGTTTTGGGCTTGTTTTGAGTTGCGATTGGGCAGGTTTTCCTGTGAAAACCTGGCAACCCTGGTCTCTTTGTATATTCATAACTCTTTTTTTTTTTGGCTTTGAACTGGTTAAAATGCATTTTTTTTACCCCATCTGTGTCAAAGTGCAAGAACAGATGCTGTGCTCGTCTCTGTGCAGTTTGGGTTTATCCAAAGCAGCTGAGTGTTTTGAGAGAGTGAGAGAGATCGCTCAACCAGAAGGAAAACAAACAAAAGCAGTGTGTGCTTTCTACTGCGAACTAGGATTTAATATTTTTGCATACATCTTGTTCTGTAAGAAAACGTCGCTCAAAAGTGCTTAACACATCACTGATCATTCATTAAAAAGATTGAGCACGAACTCCCTTGATTCTCAGGCAGGTCAGTAGCACAGGACGCCTGTAGCTGAATACAGAGGAAATGGGTGGGAAGGATAACGGAAACCATGGAGGGGAATCAGAAGAGCGATGACTTCCTTTTGCAAACTTCCCAACAGAAAGAGTGCTGCAGGGAGTGAGGGATTGAATAAATGTATCTTACTGATATATGGACATGTGGCATCTCTCCACAGGACTACCCTTCACTCGCTTTACTTGGAGAGAAACTGGCTGAAAACAACATTTTCCTCATCTTTGCTGTGACCAAAAGACACTATGTTCTGTACAAGGTATCTTTCATTCACCATAAGCTTTTTTGATCGATGTTGAGCTGTTTTTGTTTTGTGTTTAACGTGTTCTCAATGTCTCTTTACCCATAGAATCTCACAGCATTGATCCCTGGGACTACAGTGGAAATTTTGGACCAAGACTCCAAAAACATTATTCAGCTAATTGTGAATGCATACAATGTAAGCTGTTCTTATTACCGTCTTGTACTGTGGGTGTATCTGAATGAAAGACAGGTGCACATAAAAGAAAATGGGCTCTTGTTGACCCCAAGACTGATCCGTTCATGCTTTTGTTTCCTGTAAATAGTGTAGGATGTGTATTGTAAGGTTCAAGGGTGAAGCTGTTGAAGCCTCTTATGAACGCACTGTTCATTTTCAGGGAATGTGGTAAACACACTTCAGGGTCAGGCAACTGTTCTATAACAACACAGTACTAAATAAAGTATGCAAATTGATTGCAGTTTAATTGGCAACCAAACTGGTTACCCCTTGTTTTCAGCTAATAAATGGTTAGGAATTGAATTAGGAACAGATGCTTAGGAAAGCTTTGCTCTTTTGCTGTGTCTTCACTGTGTGGTCACATGATTACATAAGATAAAAAATGTCCTGTTTTTGTCAGTGCGGAACATTTGATGGGCTTGTCCGTGTGTTTGCTTTAGTTCACACACTAAGCTGTGTAGTCTGGTATTTCTGTCTAATGAAGATGTGATGGCTTGTGTTTATTGCTGTATTGGAAGAGTGCTGCTGTCTTCCAGGAAATGGACTCAAAAGATGTTCTTTGGCTGAAGATGTGGAGAGTTTTTTTGTTTTGTTTTTTTTGCATTGGAGGACACTTTTACACATGCATTTTTATATAAACTTAATTTTAACCTAAAAAGTATGTTGACATGAATAACACAAACTACCATTCAAAAGTTTGTAATATATTATTATTTTATTTTAGTTTTTGAAAGAAGAAAGAACACTTTTATTAAGCAAGGACACATTAAATTGATCAAAAATTACGGTAAAGACATTTATATTGTTACAAAATATTTCTATTTCAGATAAATGCTGTTCTTATGAATGTACATCAGTGATAGTCGTACTGACCACAAACTTGTGTACAGTAGAGTAGATCCACTGGACATCTGCTTTGAGGTCTTGCAAACACAATTAAGCGTCATGGGAAACAGCATCATAAGACAGCTTTGTAAAAGAAAAAAAAGGGATGATGTGAAGATATGATGAAAAATTCAACAATCTGTTTATAACTGGTGACAAACACTGACCAAACATCAAGCCAGGGTTTTTTTAATTGACCCAGTTACTTATTTCTCTTGACTGTCAGTTTACACCAAAATATGCCCAAATACCAAAGGCTATGATTACTGTCATGGATATGATGTATTTTGGTGTTGTTTTTAGTGGTAGTATGCTGTCCAAGAATATTATTGAATGTTTGTGGTTTTACTTTTTGGTGCTAGAGCATTATAGAAACCAAGTATATCATTTCAAGAGTCATTTTCTCCATTACCTTTGAAATTGTTACTAGTGAATGTTAGATGCTTTTGTGTTTCATGCATGATTTTATTTTTCTTTAATGTAGAACATCAGGTCGAAAGTTGAGCTGAGCGTATGGGACCATCCTGAAGATCTCAATCTGGCCTTAACCGCCACCTGCCAAGATGGCCAGCCCCTGACTGGTCTCCGCAAGTGTGCTGACCTCAAAATTGGTGACACTGTTAGTACTTGCTTTATCAAATATTGCCTGTGCCTTTTACACTAACTGTTAACTGTTAAAACACATAACAGCTGATCCTGTCCTTCTGTCTGCAACCTGAGTGTTTAATGTGAAGTCTATCGCAAGGAGCTCAGATCTTATTTATACCTCTTGGATTTAAGCACAGGGTGCTGTATCCTGTATCCTGTTGCCTCTTACTACTAAAAGAGAACTGATGGTAGTCACAATCTTAATGAGGATGTAAAGAAAGTGACAAAAGATTAAACCTTACAGTCTCCCAAAATGTTCAGATCACATTTGCACACAGCTATTTGTCCTTGTTGACCTGCATATAATGTCCTGGAAGTGAAAGCAACAGATTTTCTTTCACTTTCCTTGAGGAAGTGAAACAGAGTGACAGGGAAATGCAGCAAAATAGATGGAAAGAATGTGAGATGTTTTTTCAGAGCATGGCTTGTTTTTTCATTCCAGCTCAATTGCATGTTTGATGATTGCATAAGAGGAATCATACATTTGGTCATATTCATACAATATCTATTATTTGAGCCAGAAATACCTTTGAAAATTAGTGCCAGTGCAGTGACAGACAGATTTCAGATGTTCTCTGTGCACAGATTGTGCCCATTTACAGATAACTGTTGTGGTTTTCAGCAGGTACAAGCAACAAGGCTTAAACACTGCCAGACACTTTTAGGCATATTGTTTAGATCTTCCTGTGTTAGATGTAGAGTTATTTACTCAACGATAACATGTTAGATTTGAATAATATGCCATGGTCTGCACTCTCACGATTTACACTCTGTTACACTTACAGACTTGCACTCTGTTTGGTGTAAAATAGTTAAGAGAGCCCTCTCAAAGGATCTTGGGAACGAAATATTACTGTATCAACATGCAGATCACAGATTCATATCATCAATATGAATCATGCTTGTACAATTAACAAGAATTCTTTACAGTGTTCGCATGGTGTAGATTGTAGTTGCTGGATCTCCCATACATTCTTAATTAGACAGACATGGTAAAACTTCTATAGAACTACTTGGTACATGTCGCCATGCCATGATCTGACCCTTGGATTCAAGCAGAGTTCTCCACTCTTTCCTGTACCATTCCTATTTTGCCTAATTGAATGTAGAGAAGGATTGTGAGGGAAAGTGGAGGGGTAGAACTGAATACCCTCTCTGAATGGAGCAACCCAATAGGCCTAGGGCCTTTTTGTCTCATCCACGGGGGAAATTTGCCACACCGTGCTCAAGTGCCAATCATGCCTTTAGAAAGGGGAGCACAACCCGAACAGAATTCCATGTGTCACTCAGTCCTCTGCCGAACCCTCTGAGGAGTCACTGCTGCATTTCAATGGGCTCACACAATAACGCAGGGTTCTTTCTGGGTGAGGAGCTGTGGAAAAACATAGGCCTTAGATACAGAGGCAGCATCCCAGATTCTAAAGTTAAGCTTAGATTCCTTTCACAGAAGTAGATCCAAGCCCCTAGAGACTACTAAAATGTCCCATACATAACACATTCATCTAATCCCAGGAAACATCAGTTTACTTTTGGATAGACTTTGTTTGCCATGAATTTCTAAAGCTTTGCTCACTGTTGTGCAAATGCAAGAACACTAAGGAATGGGGAGGTGTACAGTCAGGAGCACAAGTACAAATTTACTGATATAGCAAATATATTTTAGATATAGCAATAAGTGTTTGAGTAGTACAATGGCGTATGTTTGCTTTTGACTTTGGTGGGGACATAACAGCAGAACCCCTACCCACACACCGTGCTTTAAACTCATCGACGCAACTTTGTTAATTCCTGAAGTTAACTTTTAGATTAACTGTTTTGGACTGCTGTCTTGAACTGAGTGCAATAACTGTGAGTTGTTCTAGACGCGGTGCTGTGCTTCTCGTCTGCTTTGCGACTACCTTATGTTCTCACTCTGCTCAAGTATTAAATGTGCGGCCTTGAAAGTGTGCAGTTTTCTGACGTATTTACTTTAACTTCTTAGGTAATATCAATGGTATGACATATTTCAGATGCGTCCGAAATTACAAAAACATATACATATATTTAATTGTTTGATCAAAATTATTGCTAGGAGGAGAAATTTGGTAGTTGCTGGATATTTGGTAGGGATATGTCCCCACCTAATTCTACGCCCTTGGAATAGTATTAGTAGTTGGTAGTAATAGTCCCATTTTTTAATACATTTTATGCAGTTTTTACCTATTACTATATGAAGTGCTTTAAAAAACAGGAATTATTATAACCATCCAACCAGGTATCACAAACCCCCCAAAAAACTCAAATGCTATTGCAAAATACTCCAGGTTTATGTCTAGCGTACAGTGTGAATACTTCACATGAAATTGTTTTTTTTTTTTTCTACTGACAGCCTGTCGTCATGTTATTTTCTGCTGTTAGCATTATAGCATTTTTACCACATGCTAAGACACAGAGAGAGACAATGAAAACAAGCTCCTCCCATTCTGATTAATCTTAGTTTTCTGCTGCTCTGATGGCTTTAGGGTTCTCACAAACAACTTCTGCAAAGACACATATCAGTCTTGGATCATTACTAAATCTAAAACATTAACAGTGTTTTCCCAACTCTTGGACTGGTTTGTTTTTATTAAAATGCAGTACACTGTTTTGACCAGTGATGGCTCATCTTTCTATAATGTCCACTCCACCTCTTCCTCTGCCCAACCACACAGACTTCATGGAGTTTTCTAAGTCTTCATCTGACAGTTGCCATGTACTCATGACTCACATGTCTCATTAATCCAATTCTGCAGCTCATTGCCTCATTGAGGAAATACTTCTTGCTGCACTCATGTCTGTCTGTCCCCTCACTTTCCCACTTTTTTGTGTTGTTTTTCAGCATGATCTTTAAGGAGCAGCATATTAATGCTGTAAAATATGTAGTAAAAGATGGATGTGTTTGATGTAATTTTATGATACTGTTGGTTTTTCAACAGTTAATGTTATTTACACCAATTATTCTACACTAACGTTCCACACCAAAAGTCACAGTAAAGACATAATATTAAAGATTTTTATCTTAACTAAATGCTATTCTTTTTTTTTTTCATCACAAATCCTGAAAAATATCATGGGTCCCACAAAAATATTTAGCAGCACAACTCTTTTCAACATTGATAATAATGAGAGATGTTTCTTGAGCATCAAATTTGCATATTAGAATGAACAAATTCAAATCATCATAAGTGAATAGAGATTGCTGGACAGGTCCAAAACATTACCCAGTTATTTAAGATTTCATTAACAGTTGGCATGCCAGTACAAGAACCTTTTCCACATGAATAGAAATAGACATTTTGAATATTTGATGAATTGTGTTTCTTGCCTCCCATTTGTGTTTAGTCTTTTCTCCATCATTTCTGTTTTTACACTGAATATGTGTTTTCTTTAGGCTATTAACTGGCTGTAGAGAGACCAGTGTAGTTAAAATAACAACAACCCCTTTTCCATTCAAATAACTTCACTGACAGCCTTAGCCTTTCATTGTGATTAAGAAGACGAGCCTCAAGTCTACCTCCATCAGTATGACCCTCTGTGGCCCAGTGTTTGGCTCTGAGCTCTGAACTCTCGGGTCTGGAGGGCTCACTGATGTGAAACACTACTTCAAAGTGTTCAGACTCAGCATGTTGGGCTTGTCCTCTCCACTGGGTGCTTCTGAATCAAAGGCTACATGTTTTTGAAGGTGTCGGGTTTTCTGGCCCTGAGGATCCACATAAAGTTTGCTCACTTCTGGGAAAAGAATTGATAAAGTGATAAAGGCTCTTTTTGCACTGCATGGTGCATAAATCCGGTGCAGTTGTAAGAAACTCAAACCGCATCTCAAGTGGAATACTAAATCTGAGAAATGAGTTTCAAATTTGATCTCACCATCTTACCATAAATTGATTGATGTTGATCAAGTCTAGACTAGTAGGGCCTAGATGAAGACTTCCTTCCTCTGGGTGTTCATCATCAGGGTGGAGTCTGTCTCTCCTCTGGTCTGAAGGTCTGTGATTAATCTGGCAAGTATGATCTACATCAGTTAGTGAAGCCTCTGTTTGTCATACACGCCACCAGGGGGAAAATTACCCGTCCTTTGATTTTGCTTTTTTGAACCTTTGGTTCACTTGTCCCGAAATAATGTTTTGGTTAAATGTCTGAAATAAGGTTTGTGTTTAACACAAGCTCAAGATATTTTCATGTTTTATTAGACATTTATTAAATACATCAATAATACCCCACTTGTGATTTATGTTTTTATGTGATTTATGTTGGCAGTTGCCAACAAGTGGCTAAATGGGACTACGGAGCTTGTTGGGGACATTAAACACCACGCCAAGCACTAAAGCTCATCTACTAAATAGTCTGCTTTTACAGCCTGTTGTGTTTATACCCGTGCTTTGGCAAACTAATTTAAAAATCAACTTTTGTTGGTTTTCCAGCAATAATCCAAAAGCCAATGGAAAATCCTATTTTGTCAAAGTAACCAGGGTCATGCTAACTTCAGAAATATGTCATCCCTCTAGCACTCAATAGCTGTGTCCCAATTCAGGGTCTGTATCCTTCGGGTTGAATCGAACATTGTTGAATGGGACATTTTTTGCCAATAGTGGACTTTTTTGTAAGTCATTTTCAACTGTATGAAAACAAAGCAGTTCACAACCTGTCACATATGTTCAACTTGGTCCATTTTAGTACATCTATAAAATTGCATCTTGGTAAAATATAAGTCAACATTTTAACCCCTTTTTAAAGTGTTTTGTTTTTCCCTTCCTTGTATCCTTCATAGCCCAGGAAACAAAGGAGGCATTTCAGGGCCGCATTTCAAGGAGCCTTTGAAATGGGACTGCATTCTAAGTGCTGCTGTTATGCATTCAGCCTTGGAATGCAGCCTTTGAGTTGGGATACAGTTCATGTGTGTATTTAGTCATAAACACAAGAAAATTAGTTGTCTGTCCTTTCTTTCAGGTCTCCTTCAACGTAACTGTAGACGCTCGAGGATGTCCTCCGAAAGGCACCAGGAAGAGTTTCACCATCAGGCCTGTTGGTTTTAAAGACCGTCTGGAGGTCTCTGTGGACTACCACTGTGATTGTAGATGCACATATTTCACCAAGACCAACAGCAGCCGCTGCAACTCTGCCGGCACTTACAGCTGTGGGATGTGCCGCTGTGAGCCTGGACACCTGGGAGTCCGCTGCGAGTGCGAGGAGGGTGAGGTCGACCACCAGCATCTCAGTGCCTGCCGTGAGGCTGAGGGCAAGCAGGTGTGCAGCGGCCGCGGAGAATGCAGCTGTAACCAGTGTCTATGCTACGAGTCAGAGTTCGGCAAAATCTATGGCACCTTCTGCGAGTGTGACGACTTCTCCTGTGCCCGACACAAGGGTATACTGTGCTCAGGTAAGATGAAAGAATTTATTTGCTTATTTGGTTGCCATTTCAAAGAGGAAATCTTTGCATTTCAGTTCCGTGATGTATTCTTACCTGCACCTTGCAAAGTGGATTGAATTTTCAATACAAAATGTGGAAGTTTATGGTCCATGTCCTAGTTTTTCAGCAGCTTATTTGGCTTGCCATGTGCCTCTGTAGGATGCTACATTTGTGCCCAATGCATTTGATCATTTTTTGCCAAAAAGCAGTTGGCTGGCACCCCATCTCTCCCTCTCCACAGGACGCATCTCTGCCATGCCACAGTGAGAGCTTTGTAGAAGGCTGCATTTGTTTAGCCATGCACACAATGGCTGGTCTATGAGTAATAAAGCTCTGTTTTTCTTTAGTCAGCATAAACTGTCAGCCCAACTCAAAATGGACATTTGTTGAGCCTCTGTAGCAATAATGCCATCGGTAGAATCGAGAATATATCCCGTTCCTGCTATCTCAGCCATGGAAAACTCTTCTTGTCTGCAGTAATGAGTCCTTAATGAATCTGGGTGATTTTGCTTTTTTGCATCACTTTGCCATGGTGAATTAACTGGGACAATTCTTGTAAACTCGCTAATAATGGCTGTGGGAAAATAATTGATAAAGTGATAAAGGCTCTTTTTGCACTGCATGGTGCATAAATCCAGTGCAGTTGTAAGAAACTGGAGAGGCAAAAGTTGATGAGAGAGTTCTCTGTAGGTTTCGTTCACTTGTTAAATGCCTCATAAACATGCTTTGTGGCATTCTGATTTGGCCATGCTTCAAACAGCTTGTTTTACAGTTTGTGAGTTGCAAGGTGTTTAGGGTAGAATAGAAGTCCCAAAGCTAGCATTTATCAGGAGAATGCTAATGCTTCTCAAACCGGCAGGCCAGCAAGATGAACCTACACCAGGGCATGGAAATTCTGTCATCATTTACTCACCCTTCACTTGTTCCAGACCTGTATGAGTTTCTTTCTTCTGTTGAACACAAAAGAAGATATTTTGAAAAATGTTAGTATCCGAACAGTTGATGAGCACCATTCACTTCCATAGTAGGAATGACAGAATGTTATGACAGAATTTTCATTGTGGAAGTGAACTAATCCTTTAAAATATTTTTTTAATATTTAATTAAAAATATTTAATATTTTTACTATTTTAAAATAGTACCGCCTGAGATTCTGTATCAAAGGGGTTTGGCTTTCAAATATGTGACCCTGGACCACAAAACCAGTCTTAAGTCGCTGGGGTGTATTTGTAGCAATAGCCAAAAATACATTGTATGGGTCAAAATTATTGATTTTTCTTTTATGCCAAAAATCATTAGGACATTAAGTAAAGATCATGTTCCATGAAGATATTTAGTAAATTTCCTACTGTAAATATATTAAAACAACATTTTTTGATTAGTAATATATATTGCTAAGAACTTCATTTGGACAACTTTAAAGGCGATTTTCTCAATATTTAGATTTTTTTGCACCCTCAGATTCCAGATCTTCAAATACTTGTATCTCGGCCAAATCCTAACAAACCATACATCAATGGAAAGTTTATTTATTCAGCTTTCAGATGATGTATAAATCAAAATTTAAAAAAATTGACCCTTATGACAGGTTTTGTGGTCCAGGGTCACATATAGGTTTGACAATCCCCCTTTTTTTTTTTTTTGGGTAAAATACTTTCTCCTCTAACACATACAGTAATATGCATAGGCCATAGGTTGATACCTCCAAAATGTGTATTCACTTTGTTTACATGCATTATAAGCCACTTGTACTACAAAAACCTTAAACCATTTTCAGGACCAATAGCAGGAGTGTTATTAGAGTGTAGTGCTGACACCAACAGATTTTATTTTTTCCATGTAACATGTAAAGAGCTCTTTTTTAACACTCAAGAAGAATAATTAATCTATAATTGTTTATGATCCCTGCATGTCTAGCATTTTATTTACTTTCATCTTAATATTAAATGAGTGTTGAAACCTTTGTATGTTTGTGAAGAAATAGGCTTGTTTGCTTTACAACGTAGATAGTTGTGATACAGTGAGGAGTAAACATGACCCCGTTGAAGGGTCAGAAGGAAGCTGTGCTAAATAAGTTAAACAGTCGCGTGGGGGGCGGAGCGTCCTCCTCTGCCACTTTATTACTGGGTCACTGGGTTTGGTGAGCATGTCGTGACTCTTGAAGGCTGACTGGCTGACGGCTTCTCAATAATACAAAACTGGTCAAGAATAAGCTGTTTTTGTGAAAATGGTGTTGCATAACTCTTTGTAGCCACATTCCATAGGTGTGTATAATAGTGGTTATTTTTTAAGCTGACTTTAAAGAAGCTTTTAAAGCCATTTAAATGTAAACATGACTTTAAAATGACCTTAAGCGCGTTTATTATTGTTCTTTTTAATCCTTGTTCATACACCTGGAGTAAACAAAGCTTTGTTTTTTTTTAACCTCTCTGTTTATGAAGTGCCATTGAAATGGTTTTCTCAGCTGTACTGTTATTTGTGTTTTACACTCCACAACTTGCTGTTACTTAAAACAGCAGCATTTTCAATAACAGTAGCAAAATAAAACCAAAATAAGATGCAAAAGTCACCCTGGATCATTGGATCAAAGTGTCTTAAATAGGCTCAAAGTCCTATTCTGGAATGTAGTAGCAACTTTCTGCACGCAGGTGATGGAGATTTACCGCTGATTACAGAACCGGATTTCTGACAAGATGCGCGTTAAATATCGCATGCGATTTATCGTGCAGCCCTACTATATTCAAACTTATTAATGTACATATGTTTTGAATTTCTGAACAATAGCTTTCTGAGTCTGTAGTGAGAATGACAGGATGTTAAAGCTATTGGGCTGTTTTTGATGGAGCCCCTAGTAAACCCCAGCTTTGTCGAATTGTTCTATACATCTGCTGTTGATTTAAATTGCTTAATAACACAGAGTCAGAAATAGTGACTAAGTGCCTCAGACATATAAATGTGCTCCTTTTTTGTTCTTTAAATCTTCAACCTTGTTGTTGAGGTTTGTGTGGACCTAGTCGATTAACACTGTAAATGTGAACATGTTTGTGTTTGTTGTAAAGCTTTGTGGCTCTAGAAAATTGCAAGTAATGGGAATGGAGTGTGGAACCAAATTCTTTTTTTTTGGGGGGGGGGTCATGATTTCACGTTATTTATCCAACTGATTATAGTGGTAACAATTATAGCCTGATCATTTTTACAATATAGTTTCAAAAGTTAAGTAAAGTGGCAAAGGAATGCTTTATTTTCTTTAAAGAACCATGAAAAAGTATCATTATTTTTTCAACATTGATAATAATAAAAGATGTTTTTTGAACACCACCTCAGCACATTACAATGGTTTCTGAAGGATCATGTGACGCAGAAGACTGGCGTAATGGCTGCTAAGATTCCGCTTTGCATCACAGGAATAAATTACAATTTAAAATGTATTCATAAAGTAAAGGTATTTTAAATTGTCATAACATTTCACAATATTACTATTTGACGTTGTTTTTGATTAAATTAATGCAATTGTGGTGAGCATAAGAGAATTCTTATAAAAATCTACTGACCCCAAACCTTTGAACGGTAGTGTGTACAAACAAGAAATCAAATGTTATGCACTTGACCCTGAGCAGTATACAATCAAACAAGGGCTTTTAAACTGTTGTCACCAACTTGTAATAACATCTCAGAAGTGATGTTTGTTGTTGTGGGCATACATGTTGTTTTTTCTCAAAAACATTTGCAGTCTATCCAAGCAATATGCTAGACACCTGGTTGTTTTTGGAGCTGTTTTTGAGATACTTTCAGATGTTAGCTTATGTTAGCAGTAAGCACATGGAGCAGATGAGATGCTGCATGTTGAATACCAAACATATGCTGTAATTTGGATTTAATGTGGTTTCATTTAACGTTTGGCAAACATTCCACCAACTCATCTCTGTAACTGTACACAGACCATTGACATCTTTTTTCCACACCCCAGCACCTGACAACACAATGCCCTCAGAAGCAAACAAACAGACAAGGCCTTCACCGCTTTACCATCATCAAAAATACTGGAAAGTCTGGTGTGCATAGGATGATTGGATATAAACACTTCATATCTGTTTTTGTTTGTGATGTGGAACGTTTGTCACGTTGTGCCTGGTGGGACAATTTATGAGAGCAGTGTGGTCACATGTTGAACATTAGAGCTGTCAAGAACCAGAAGCAAAATGGGACTTTGGAATAGGATTCATTGCGCACATTGATTTGCCGTAAGAGTGCATTTGCTGGCAGAATAGCTTTGTGAAATGCATGTTTGAGGCAGAAGGATCCATTTTTATGTCTGGGGATCTTCAGTATCTCTCATGGGTAACATTGTCGATGCACAAAAAAAAAATTTT